CACTAACGACTTAGTAATCTCTTTGTGGTAAATAAATGAAACATAGTCAATTAAACTAGAGATCTTAGTAGCATATTTGCTTACATCTAATGAGTATTTGATCTATTTTCTAATTTGTTTGTGTTTACTAGTGTAAGTAAATATGCTACTAATTTATTTGCAAACATATTCTTTTTATGTTCACTCGTTATCTAATTTATTCATGACTTTCTAATTCAAGAATTCACATATTTGAAGTAAACATATCGTAAGTTTAAATTTAAATTTTATTTTTAATTTTTGATGAGATAGGATTAACCAACTAATCCTAACGGTTCATAAAGCAAATTTTAAACTTTTTAAGTAATGCCTCAGAAAAGGGAGGAGAGGTCGATCACATTAATGAAACGCATACGTGGCATATACTCTCACAAAAGGGAGATGTACCCCGCGTTACAGCCAATCCCTTCCTTAACCAAGAAGCAAAGGCCACGTCAAATTAACGCTACGCTGAAAGCAAAGCACATATAAAAAAGCAACCGAGTCAGCAGCCAACTCTGCAAACGCTCCACAAAATCAAAACCTCTACAATTTCTTTCGCTCCCAAATTCTCAATACTCAAATTTCATTTCCCAAACAAAATCTTCGAAATTCGAAATTCGAAATTCGACATTCGTCTTTCTGAGCTCTGAGAATTTCGAATTTCAAAAGGCATGGGAACCTCTCAGAGCCGCGAGGATCACTTCTTCCCATGGTCTCTATTTCTTCTTTTCATTCTCCCCTGCGACTTCAACACCTCTTTGTGCCATTCTGAAGGTAGATTTATTTCTTCAACACATCTATGGAGCTGCGATTCTTTTTTTGGATTCTCTCTTCTCTCCTCTCCTCTCAACTCTCATCTCTCATCTCAGATTTCTCTCTAAATTTTTTATTTAAATGTTAAATATTGAGATGTTTTGATGATTGCCATCACTTTTTTCTGGGTTAGAGGTCGAGATCTATGGTTTTTTTTGGGGGGTGGTGGGGGGGGGGGGGTTTCTGAATGTTGTCTTTCATATATGAGATACTTTCATTCTCTGGATTCTTTTCATTTTGTTTCGAATTACCTTTGTTTTGCTAGACTACAATTTTGTTTCTCATGTCTTTTGTCTCCTCTATCTGCCTACGAGAAGCCATGGATCAAAGGCTTCGATAATTCAAATCAGAATTTTGTGTTTTTTTTAAATAAATATTGGCTCTGTAATTCGTTCTCTTTCCTTTACGATAATGGGTTCTGTATTTTGTTTATTATCTTGGGGTCAATCCCATGATGCTTTTTTGCTACTTTTTTTATTTGATTATGTATTCGCACCAGAAATTGTAAGCTTCAATTAAATTGTTTTGTTGCAGACTTGCAGTGCAAAAGCCTACAGCTTGAAGACGCAATCATGAAGGCGTTTGAGGTCAATGGGAACACTCTCTCTCTTGCTCTCTTCACTGAAGTCACCAACTCCAAGTACTCTATCTCTCTCGCTCTCTACATTTCTCTCTATCTTTGTATTGCAACTAGCTCAACTGGGTATTGCTTTATCATGGAAAATTCACCAAACCCAATTTCGTTCCCCTGGATTTTCCATCAAAACCTGGTTAAGCTGGTGAATAAAGTTGGGCATTTCGTTGTCGTAATTTCTTTGGCACATAGATATGAACTTGTTCACTTATCACATGCCAGTAACAACAAGTGTTTTTCCGTCAAGCTCTATCTCCACATCGGCGGCAACACTCCCAAGGCCAAGTGGGTCGTCTCCGATAAGACGTCTTACTTTTTCGTCAAGACCTCTAATGTCGACGGCGACGATGATTACGACGACGACGTTCGATCGGACCGTGAGGGACAGTGGGTTCTGAAGGTCGGGTGATATGAACTTGTTCACTTATCACATGCCAGTAACAACAAGTGTTTTTTTCCTTCTTCCAATGTATTAATTTTTGGGAACCGATGATTTCCTCTGTACTTAACATAGCTCTAACTGCAAACAAGATTGCCGTCGCTTGTTAATCTTATTTTCAGTCCCAAAAGAGAAAAAGAAAGTTATTGAATTTGTAGTTGAATTTGAAAGATGTTTTAATTTTAAACAGAAGTAAGAATGAACCCATCTACTTCAATTGAAGTGGAACAACACTTATGTGTGATATATCTGTCTTATGTTGTAAAGTCATTATCTTGTAGGGAGCTGCTTGATTCTATGCAATCTGGGACACTAGACCCCGAAGTCGCGTTCCTGAATGCTTCTCTGGTTTTATTCCATACTTTAACCATCCCTTTTTTTTATTTTTTCCTTCAATGTTGTATTCTCTTTGCTGAGATCCTTCTTGTTGAGTTTCTCTAATGTTACCTTCACCCACAATGGAAGCAGATACCAGATGTTTTTCCTTTGCTTGCAGCTGCACATAAGACACTTGTAGCCAAGTCCCGAGAGTCGCTGACAACGCGCACTCTTCATTCTGAGCTTGTTTACAATTACTCAGGATCCAAGCATGTAATTTTCTACCTATTAACTAATATGTTCTGTGGCCTGTTGCTTATTTTTCTCGTGCTGCAAATATGTAACCCCTAGCTTTGAACGTGACTAGATCACAGAATCGTTGAAAAGATGTGGCATCTCTGAAAGCTCGACTTATGTGCTTGCCGCTCGTTTTAATTCTTCTTCTGATGAGGTAAGATCACTCTGAAAGATGTACTAGATCAAGCCTTGCATTGCTTCAGGATATCAGAAAATGTTAGCTATTCTGACTTTAATAATTTTTGTTGAATACTAGATTGAACAGAAAGCAGTAGAGAAACTAATCAATGGAAAAGAGATTGACTTGGAGGAGTTGGGAGGTAGAGCAGACCAAGCCCAAATACAAAAGGTACACTCTTGAGTCTAGATCACTTTTCTAGCGGCAATTAGTTTTGTTGTGATTTTGTTTCTAGTTAGTGATCATCAACACTCTTTATTTTCAGCACTATAAGATAACGAGCGTGGAACTAGGGATATCTTCTCTTGCTGATGCCATTACTTGCCGGATTGCCTCTCGCGATGCCTTGTGAGAAGAATGAGGTTCATGTTCTGGGAATTCAGAGCTTCATTTGAAGGTGACCAAGGAAACAGAAAACCTGTAGCTTACTATTCTTGTTTTAGCAAGTTCAACTGTCCGGTGTAATATGTAAGTATACTTGTAGGCAAAGCTGAAATTTGGAAAACGTGATTATGCTACCTATACCCAGCAATGAACCAATGACAAAATTTGCTTGAAATCGTAGTACTAGTTTAGTTGTGAGATTGCTTGTATGAGAAAAATTCAATTGCTGATCATTATTGGTTTCTTGGACAGTCATAGACTTGCATATCTTCAGTACTCAGTAGTGCTGGCCTGGGCGTTAGGTGCTTGCATTGCATTCTTGGAACAAACCTTTGATGCTTAGACACTTATGGCATGTTGTGAGCGATTCTGACCGCATTTGGACCAGATGGGTGCATAAGAATTTGGGCTGTTAACCCTCCCCAAGTTTGCCCTGGAATTGGAGAAAAATCTATAAATCAGATATTTAGATACAAGTCCCAATTGAATTTGTGGTTTGACAACTGACATCCATTGGGACCTCTACCAACTTCTTAGGAGTCCTCCTGCTATCCCGAGTTCGGGTTTGGCTCTTGATGCTAGGGTTAGTCTCATTATCCACAACTGGCAGCAGCATTGCTCTTGGAAAGGGATTTGTGATCGCAAGCCTGTTGTTCCCACAATCCATCTAAGAACGAGTTTTATTCTATGGATGCCAATTAGAGATTTGGAGGCAACTTATGATCATATCTGGTTCCTCCTGTTCTTTTTATTTTTATGGTCAGTGCCTCCTGTTCTTCCCACTCGTGGCCTCTACTTGGTCATATTACTGCCAAGTTTTGTTAAGGCAAGCAAGCTTCTCAAATTGGTTGCCTATTGGGCTAGTAGTTTGGCTGCTTTAGCCCTTTGTGTCTTGCTCTGCTGGCTGGATTTTCGCCCACATTCCTTGTTATGATTACCCAAGAAAACTTTGATTTAAAAACTTTCTTTTAATTATTTTGTTTTGTTATTGATCATTGTATACTGCTCCACTTTCTACCTTTTAGTATAGTACTTATTTTGTTTTGTTATTTACAATGAGAATCGAAGCCAGACACCACCTTCCCTACATCCTCCATAGCATTTCATCTAAGGTTCTTTGGCTCTTTATTCAATCTTAAAAAAGGGGCATAGGCTCCCTAAAAAAAGAATAAAAAACTTTTGTTGAATTTGGAATGCATTCTCGTGTCCTATTGAAAACTATAATCTTTGTTTTTTAAAAAAATTACAAAAACTAGAATCTTTATATGCCATGTTTATGATACTTCGTGATGTATAAATATGATGAAATAAAATATCAACCTTCGAGCTAAATAAGTACTTTTTTTTTTTTTTTTGGTTACAATGAAAGGAAATCGAACCTTCAATCTAGCTTAATCCTAACTCATTATCTCATGCACTAACGACTTAGTAATCTCTTTGTGGTAAATAAATGAAACATAGTCAATTAAACTAGAGATCTTAGTAGCATATTTGCTTACATCTAATGAGTATTTGATCTATTTTCTAATTTGTTTGTGTTTACTAGTGTAAGTAAATATGCTACTAATTTATTTGCAAACATATTCTTTTTATGTTCACTCGTTATCTAATTTATTCATGACTTTCTAATTCAAGAATTCACATATTTGAAGTAAACATATCGTAAGTTTAAATTTAAATTTTATTTTTAATTTTTGATGAGATAGGATTAACCAACTAATCCTAACGGTTCATAAAGCAAATTTTAAACTTTTTAAGTAATGCCTCAGAAAAGGGAGGAGAGGTCGATCACATTAATGAAACGCATACGTGGCATATACTCTCACAAAAGGGAGATGTACCCCGCGTTACAGCCAATCCCTTCCTTAACCAAGAAGCAAAGGCCACGTCAAATTAACGCTACGCTGAAAGCAAAGCACATATAAAAAAGCAACCGAGTCAGCAGCCAACTCTGCAAACGCTCCACAAAATCAAAACCTCTGCAATTTCTTTCGCTCCCAAATTCTCAATACTCAAATTTCATTTCCCAAACAAAATCTTCGAAATTCGAAATTCTCCATTCGTCTTTCTGAGCTCTGAGAATTTCGAATTTCAAAAGGCATGGGAACCTCTCAGAGCCGCGAGGATCACATCACCGACTCAGACGAGTACGAGTCGGAAGAAGAAGAGGTTTCGGAAGACGAAGACCAGTACGACGACGCCGAGGAGAAGCCGCACCAGCCCTCCTCGAAGCCCAAATCCGAAACCCTAGACTCCTCCATCGACGACGTCGACGCCAAGCTCAAAGCCCTCAAGCTCAAGTACGGCTCTCCTTCCTCTTCCTCTGCCGCGCAAAACCAGAACGCCGTCAAGCTCTATCTCCACATCGGCGGCAACACTCCCAAGGCCAAGTGGGTCGTCTCCGATAAGACGTCTTACTTTTTCGTCAAGACCTCTAATGTCGACGGCGACGATGATTACGACGACGACGTTCGATCGGACCGTGAGGGACAGTGGGTTCTGAAGGTCGGGTCCAAGGTCCGAGCTAGGGTTTCCACCGACATGCAATTGAAGATGTTCGGCGATCAGCGCCGAGTCGATTTCGTGTCCAAGGGCGTCTGGGCTTTGAAATTTTACACCGACGAGCAGTACCGGAGGTTCGTGACGGAGTTTCAGGACTACTTGTTCGAGAACGTGTACGGAGTCCAAGCCACGGAGGAGAACAAGGTCAAGGTTTACGGCAAGGAGTTTCTCGGGTGGGCCAAGCCGGAGGCAGCCGACGATTCGGCTTGGGACTATGATGATATCGATCAAAGCCCTAAGTCGGCTACGCCGGTCCGGCCCAGCCAGGACTTGATGGAGGAGTTCGAGGAGGCCGCCAATGGAGGTGTCCAGAGCTTAACCCTTGGCGCAATGGACAATAGCTTCTTGGTGAACGACACTGGTGTTCAGGTTTATCGGAATTTCAACCATGGGATTCATGGGAAGGGCGTAGTCGCGAAATTCGATAGCGGGGGCTCGAGTTTAGGGAGATCGACGCCCAAGAAGGCTCTGTTAATGAGGGCTGAGACTAATATGCTGCTTATGAGTCCATTGAAGGAAGGGAAGCCTCAAGCTAATGGGATTCAACAGCTTGATATTGAGACCGGCAAGATTGTCACTGAATGGAAGTTTCAAAAGGATGGAACAGATATTACAATGAGGGATATTACTAATGACACTAAAGCGTCGCAATTGGATCCTTCGGAATCAACCTTTTTAGGTTTGGATGATAACAGGCTTTGTCAGTGGGATATGCGCGATCGGGCAGGAATGGTTCAGAACATTGCTGCCGCTAATTCGCCGGTGCTGAATTGGACTCAGGGGCATCAGTTTTCTCGAGGGACCAATTTTCAGTGCTTTGCTACCACTGGAGATGGGTCTATTGTTGTTGGATCTCTGGAAGGGAAGATAAGGCTGTATTCCAAGACCTCCATGAGGCAGGCAAAGACTGCGTTTCCAGGGCTGGGTTCCCCCATTACCCATGTTGATGTAACTTATGATGGGAAGTGGGTGTTAGGCACAACTGATACTTATTTGGTTCTCTTGAGTCTAGATCACTTTTCTAGCGGCAATTAGTTTTGTTGTGATTTTGTTTCTAGTTAGTGATCATCAACACTCTTTATTTTCAGCACTATAAGATAACGAGCGTGGAACTAGGGATATCTTCTCTTGCTGATGCCATTACTTGCCGGATTGCCTCTCGCGATGCCTTGTGAGAAGAATGAGGTTCATGTTCTGGGAATTCAGAGCTTCATTTGAAGGTGACCAAGGAAACAGAAAACCTGTAGCTTACTATTCTTGTTTTAGCAAGTTCAACTGTCCGGTGTAATATGTAAGTATACTTGTAGGCAAAGCTGAAATTTGGAAAACGTGATTATGCTACCTATACCCAGCAATGAACCAATGACAAAATTTGCTTGAAATCGTAGTACTAGTTTAGTTGTGAGATTGCTTGTATGAGAAAAATTCAATTGCTGATCATTATTGGTTTCTTGGACAGTCATAGACTTGCATATCTTCAGTACTCAGTAGTGCTGGCCTGGGCGTTAGGTGCTTGCATTGCATTCTTGGAACAAACCTTTGATGCTTAGACACTTATGGCATGTTGTGAGCGATTCTGACCGCATTTGGACCAGATGGGTGCGTAAGTTTAATCACAGGGGCATAAGAATTTGGGCTGTTAAACCTCCCCAAGTTTGCCCTGGAATTGGAGAAAAATCTATAAATCAGAGATTTAGATACAAGTCCCAATTGAATTTGTGGTTTGACAACTGACATCCATTGGGACCTCTACCAACTTCTTAGGAGTCCTCCTGCTATCCCGAGTTCGGGTTTGGCTCTTGATGCTAGGGTTAGTCTCATTATCCACAACTGGCAGCAGCATTGCTCTTGGAAAGGGATTTGTGATCGCAAGCCTGTTGTTCCCACAATCCATCTAAGAACGAGTTTTATTCTATGGATGCCAATTAGAGATTTGGAGGCAACTTATGATAATTTCTGGTTCCTCCTGTTCTTTTTATTTTTATGGTCAGTTCCTCCTGTTCTTCCCACTCGTGGCCTCTACTTGGTCATATTACTGCCAAGTTTTGTTAAGGCAAGCAAGCTTCTCAAATTGGTTGCCTATTGGGCTAGTAGTTTGGCTGCTTTAGCCCTTTGTGTCTTGCTCTGCTGGCTGGATTTTCGCCCACATTCCTTGTTATGATTACCCAAGAAAACTTTGATTTAAAAACTTTCTTTTAATTATTTTGTTTTGTTATTGATCATTGTATACTGCTCCACTTTCTACCTTTTAGTATAGTACTTATTTTGTTTTGTTATTTACAATGAGAATCGAAGCCAGACACCACCTTCCCTACATCCTCCATAGCATTTCATCTAAGGTTCTTTGGCTCTTTATTCAATCTTAAAAAAGGGGCATAGGCTCCCTAAAAAAAGAATAAAAAACTTTTGTTGAATTTGGAATGCATTCTCGTGTCCTATTGAAAACTATAATCTTTGTTTTTTCATTGGTGATATTTGAACTGTCATATCTGCTTTAAACAAAGCGTGGATTTTTCTATGTTAATTGTCTTACAGATTTTATTTGTAAGTGTTAAGAATCTTAAAGATGCTCATTGTATATTATGATGCTTCTCATACATTGATTAAATAGTTAACCATGTTTTGATTGATTTTCAACCATGGGATTCATGGGAAGGGCGTAGTCGCGAAATTCGATAGCGGGGGCTCGAGTTTAGGGAGATCGACGCCCAAGAAGGCTCTGTTAATGAGGGCTGAGACTAATATGCTGCTTATGAGTCCATTGAAGGAAGGGAAGCCTCAAGCTAATGGGATTCAACAGCTTGATATTGAGACCGGCAAGATTGTCACTGAATGGAAGTTTCAAAAGGATGGAACAGATATTACAATGAGGGATATTACTAATGACACTAAAGCGTCGCAATTGGATCCTTCGGAATCAACCTTTTTAGGTTTGGATGATAACAGGCTTTGTCAGTGGGATATGCGCGATCGGGCAGGAATGGTTCAGAACATTGCTGCCGCTAATTCGCCGGTGCTGAATTGGACTCAGGGGCATCAGTTTTCTCGAGGGACCAATTTTCAGTGCTTTGCTACCACTGGAGATGGGTCTATTGTTGTTGGATCTCTGGAAGGGAAGATAAGGCTGTATTCCAAGACCTCCATGAGGCAGGCAAAGACTGCGTTTCCAGGGCTGGGTTCCCCCATTACCCATGTTGATGTAACTTATGATGGGAAGTGGGTGTTAGGCACAACTGATACTTATTTGGTTCTAATATGCACTCTCTTCACTGACAAAGATGGAAAGACCAAGACTGCATTTAGTGGTAGAGCTGGAAACAAGATACCAGCTCCCAGGCTGTTGAAGCTCACCCCTTTGGACTCGCATTTGGCTGGCACAGACAATAGATTTCACGGTGGCCATTTCTCATGGGTAAGCAACTTATTCTCTATTTAAATGCTGCAATATTTAGATCTTTTGGACATATGCATGCTTGAATAAAATTTTTGAAGGTATATGACGGCGATTCTTGTAATTGGAAATTGTGTTCAGTGTCATTTTGGTTAGATTAAGTGCCCATCTATATTAATGACTCTTGAATGAGTTCTTCTGGTGTTAATGTTTTCCTCAGTTGTTACAGAGTTCAGTTTCATATATCTTGGTTAAATTAAATGACAACCTACATTAATGAGTCTTGAATGCGATTTTTTCGATGTTCATGTTTTCCATATTTTTCAGACAGCTTCATGTTCTACCTATAGTTTTTCTAGATGCTTGTATATCCTGGATATTTTCTATAGGTTCACGATATATTGCCATCAATACATGCTTTATTGGTTTGATTGTGGTTATAGCTATACTAGTTTCATTCTGTAACCATGCATTGGCATAATATAACTAAACCATGTTTTAACCAGTGCTACAAATGCTAATGTCAAAACACCAATGTCTGAGCGTTCAATGCAATTAGACAACATGAAAAGTCTAATTAGTGAAAACTTTCATAACAGAGGACTTTTGAATTTATTGTTCTGGAAATTTTTTTGACTTATCATGCCAGAAGAATTTCATGACAAGTCATGTTGGATTCATATCTCTGGTATATATGGCGTGAATCTCATACATGTGTGCAGCCAGAGAATACATTTCTTTTCCTCTATAATGCCATTGGTGATATTTGAACTGTCATATCTGCTTTAAACAAAGCGTGGATTTTTCTATGTTAATTGTCTTACAGATTTTATTTGAAAGTGTTAAGAATCTTAAAGATGCTCATTGTATATTATGATGCTTCTCATACATTGATTAAATAGTTAAGCATGTTTTGATTGATTTTTTTAGATGGCCTTCTTTCCAAATCAAATTTTCTTCCTCTAGGTTTTCAAATTAGGTTTAAATTCTAAATCTTGGATCAAGTTCTTCTTCGGAGGCAAGGGCGTTTCTAGCCTATGGCAGGCTGGGCTCATGCCCGTCCCAAATGTTTGTTAAAAAAATATTACCTACACTACATATGTCCAGCCTACTTAAATTAAACCTATACAAACTTTTTCTTTCTTTTCAAATTAAATTAAAAATTATAATTATTAATTTTTTTGGTCTCGCACAAATCCCAAGAGAGGAGATTCATAAGGCCAAACTGAAGTCTCCTATTGTGGAATCAAGAAGTGCGCCATGATGTTGTTTTTAAAATAATAATAATAATAATGTAGTCCCATGTTTTCTCCTTTTTTTTTTTAATGTGAAATATTTTTTATTTTTTTATTTTTTTATTTTTTATTTTTTTATTTTACTTTTGGTTTTTATTTTAGTTTTTGTATTTGTAGATATAGATGCATTTGAGGTTAAGGCTCATTATGTGCCCCTTCACTATATATGTGTATCTTTTTATGTTTATTAATGAAATTTACTCGTACTGGAGTTTAATATATAAGTTTTGCTCGGTCGGCTTTCGAATCCTGAAACCGCCACTGCACGGAGAGGTTTATTTTCCTTTCACTTTGACTAGTAAGGCCTTTCAATATGTGTTATAAATAAAATGTTGGCCCTCAATGAAAATTACAGTCCCCTTGTAACACTTTCCTTATAAATACTCCATGCTATATGCCTCATTTCCTACATCAACCACCCAATATATTAGTTTGCATTGTGAGCCTACACACCAACAGGGGCGGATCTACAGAGGAGCAAGGGTGGTCAATTGACCCCTGCAACCTCTGAAATCCTCCATTAAAGCACCCAAAGTTGACCCCTGCAAAGTGTTCGATGAAATGCCCCAAAGGGGCAAGCCCTTGCAGCTGAAGGAGATGGCAGCGCAGGCTGCCCTTGTGCGCAGCGCGCAGCGCGCGATTTCTTTTTTTTTTAGTTCCCTCGACGTCAAAACGACGTCGTTGCACTTAAGTTATTTTTTTTTTTTTAACCTGGCCAAAACGACGTCGTTTTGGCACAGGTTTAAAAAACAAAAACAAAAAAATTCTGAAGACAGCAGCTTCTGTTTTTGCCCGATCCTTCCCCTTCCTCAAACAAGTTTTTAACTCATTTCTCTCAACTTCTCAAGTCTGAACCCTAAATCCCCAAACCAAGTTCCATCCAACCTTCACTTCCTTCCCCACAAATCCGGCGGCAGCAAAGTGGCGGCGGCGCAGCTCAAATTAAATAAGTAACCCTCAAATTCAATTTGATTTCAAAGGTGGATTTGTCCCTCAAATTTGAAAGTATGTTATCCTAATTTCTTTATGCTTTAATTAATTAGTCAAGATTGTTATATGTTTGTGTTTTTGTTAATTAGTTGTTGTTGTTTGTTGTTGAAATTTATTTTGGTTTGTTAGTTTGAATAAATTAGGGCTATTCTTTTATGTTAGTTTGAATAAATTATGGATTTTGGTTTTGGTTAGTTAGTTTAAATAAGTTAGGGTTTTATTTTTATGTTAGATTATATCTTGATTAGTTTCAATAAACTAGGGGTTTTGATTTTGGTTAGTTAGTTAGAATAAATTAGGGATTTACTTTTATGTTAGATTATATCTCTTGGTTAATTTGAATAAATTAATAAGGGTTTTTTTATTTTGGTTAGTTACTTAGAATAAATTAGTGTTTTTTGTTCGATTATATTTTGGTAAATTTGATTAGTTGTTGGGATTTTATATTGGTTAGTTTGCATAAGTTAGGTTTTTTCTATATTGTTGATGTTTGATTGGTTATTTATACAAATATAGTTATGGAACGCTACTTTAAGAGAAGGTTCGCATCAACTACTTCTAGTTCGGATAATGTGGGTAGTTCGAGTTCGAGAGATGTGGATATTTCAAGAGATGTGGATAGTTCGAAAGAAAGTGAATTGCAAGATATCTTGGCTAATCTTATTGCAGACCCCGGACTTTACCGGTTGCAACTGCTTCTGTGGAGAGAGCATTTTCTGCTATGAATATTGTGAAAGGTCCACTTCGCAACCGAATGGGAGATCAATGGTTGAGTGATAGTTTGCTTGTTTATATTGAGAAAGATGTATTTGCTTGTATTGATAATGAAACTATAATGCTACGTTTTCAGAATATGAAAACTCGTCGTGGACAATTGTAATGTGGTTTTTTATATTAATTATGAATGATAATATTATCGTTTCATTTTTATGGGTATATTTTGTATAATTTTTTTTTTACCTTTAAATGTTGACCCCCGGAACGAAATTTCCTGGATCCGCCACTGCCCTTGGGTCTCACCTAAAAAAAAAGAGGAGAGAATCATTGAAACAAGAACATTGCTATGTGTCTTCGAGTGCACTAAAATAAACTGCAACATGATATTAATTAAAACTTAGAAAAACTGGGCTACTGAGTTTTATTGTATACCAAGATACAAAGAGTGCACCTTTAAAGAATTTTCCTTCTGTACAATGTAAGAGTATTTCATTGAAAGAAACTCTGGACAAGGTGCCAACCAAGATAAAGAGTGCCTCAAGTCACAATGTTTTGCACCTTTTCAGAATCGATTATTACTGTAAGAGTGTTGACATTAGGTAATGGTGGAGGCCAGGTCCTTCCGAATTTTTCTGGGAAGATGAAAGCCTACAAAAATTCAGAATTGGAACAATTAATTGCACAAGTTGGAATAAAATACATACAAACTGAAAAACAATCATGATGACTCACCTCAACATCCTTAATGTATAGCGATAATTCCTCGAAACAATCAAAATGTTCAAGATAATCTGTCAGAGAAAGGTCCCCATGTCCAAAGACCAGTACATCCAAACACAATCCAAATTTGGAACATGAAGTTTGGGTTTAAATTCAAAGTTGTTTTAACTTTGAAATTCTTTAACACAATCCATATATATATTTTTTCCGTTCAAAAGCACCATCAATATTTTGATTGTCTATGTAATACAGGGTTTAGATCCAAATCTATTTCTTGAATTGCAAGGAATAGGGAATGCCTTGAACATCTGAGGTTCTATATCTTATTAATTTTGCATCTGATTCCCAAAAGACCACAAGGTTATACCGTAAACTTTGCATCTCTGTGTTTCAAATTTACACAGTATTCGTGAAACAACACACCAACCAAAGTGATTTCCCTCTTCTTTGCATCCCTTATTGCAACCACAAAGCATGGATTATAAGAACTCTGTTTTGCCAGCAAATTGCTGAAGCTACCACAACTCATATTGTCTATCTATTAACAAGTTGTTTTGTCATATACTGATGGCTCAACTTTGGCCACACTAACCCATTCATTACTAGAAGCCAACAATTTATCATAAAGAAGAGTCTTCAAAAAAACAAAAACAAAAACAAAAACAAAAACAAAAACAGGAACTGGGCTCCAATGTCTATTAGAGCATTAGTAAGAAAAAAAACTGCTTGTCATTGTTACTCAGGTTTGTTCTTTTTTTCTGGCTTCTTGTTCTTAGCTTTTTCTGTTTGTATCCATGTGAGCTGTTTCTTAATGGTTTTGTCAAATTTGTGTTTATACAAGTTCCTTCTGCTAACGTTGAGCAATTCTTGGATTCTACAATTGAATTTTGTGTTATATTCCTATTTAGATCGATGCACTACATATTAAGTTATATAAGGTTTGATAGGAGTTTAAATTAGGTTATACCTTAGGGCCCAAGACTTTGTGAAATAAGGAAAGTTTTGAAGCCAATTAAAGGGGTCCTATTTATTTCCTTTTGCTTGAACCGTTGTTTGATGGGCGCTTAGTGTTAGTCAAGTCGGCCCTCGATGATGAGTAGAGACGACTTGACCTAGTCCTATATAAACTTAAGACCCTGCTCTTGTCAGATATGTTCTCTAAACCTAATCTCATCATAAAGAGAGAGCTAAAACAGTTTCTGAGAGAGAGCAGAAGTCTTGAGCCGTTTGTGTCTTTTGCCTAAGTTGCTACTACTGCGATTGAATGAGTTCTAAGATCGTGTACACAAGGAAGAAGGTGCTATGTATGTTTTTTATGTATTTCAGATTGTGTGAAATATCATGGACACTTATATAAAAAATCTAACATTTCGTTCAGGAATATATAAATCTTATAACATTCTCACGGATCAGTTCTGTCGTATTATTCCATCATTTTTTTTCAATTTTTTAAAAAATACAAGCAACAATATAAACTATTCTAAATTTATCTAACTTACAGACTCGAACTTGGCTGCAATGGGGCAAGCTAACCATCCTGACAAATTTTCCTAGCTCGCGTATGCAAGCCTAAACCTGCTTTACCTTACACAATTTGGTTTACTATTTTATTACATTTTGTTTTGTTATATTATGTGTGATTTCTGCTTT